GTTGAGACCCCCTTTGGGGGTCACCCCCTTGACCCCCTTTAGTTTTGATTGGTCAACTTTTCTTTTTTTTTTTCTTTTTTTTTTTTTCCTTCTCACCAATCCCCAACCTCCATGTGTGTGAGGGGGTTGTGGGGATGGGTGTTTTAAGAGGGTCTAAATCAATGCCCTAAATTTTGATACAGGCTGTAAAAAAAGGTGTATTTGATTAATCAAGCCACGCAGAAAAATGGATTGTTTAAACTTAGTTTGAAAAAGTAAGGAATTTGTAAAATATGTTGTTTGACTTTCAAACTAATCTTAAACGAGTGGATCACTAGTTGAGCTCAATTGGCTTTTATACATTTGTATAACGCATATAAACTAATCAAGCCAAATTTAAAAAATAAATAAATTTTAAAATATACTCAAATTTAACTAAATGAATAAATTTTAAATGAATTTTTAATACATTAAATACAAATTAAAATCTCGAGTAACACTGTCCTTACACCTAAGGGGTGCCTTATTTACTCAACATAGATTTTCTTAATTATTTTACTTTTGATTTTTTGCATCTCTTCTTCGTTTTTTTTAACCACCAAAGAAGGGGGGTTTGCCTAACCACTACACTATCAATTAGTTGTTATACCAAAGAAAAGGGTATCAATTGAAAATGATATCCCATAAGTGTATTCTAAGCTATGCAAAGAATCTGATAATTGAGAAAGTTAACTTTAGGCTCAAATGTCTTGGTGACAAAATAACTTGAGCCTTCACCATGTGCCACACATTAATGAATGTAAGGTTCTAACTTCAGTGATAAAGTCGAAAAAATTCCAACCGTCACGTTAACTTGAAAAATAATTTCTCATTTTTTTTTCTTATGAAAAATAGTGCATATCTCCCCCTCTTTTTCATCCACACTTTCATTTTTCAACAGACGATTAAGATCCGTATGTCCTATTTCTATTTTTTTTCACAGAAAAGATAGAACATCCCTCCTTTCTTTCATCCAAACCTTTCATTTTTCAATGGGTAATTGAGATCCATCGACGTTATGTGAGAAAAAATAAAACACCTACCCTTTCTCTTCTATCCAAATATTTCATTTTCCAACAGACAATTATGATTAATCTTCCCTATCTCTCTTTATTTTTTGTCATGAAAATATAATAAACTCTCTTTTTCTCGTTCATTCAAATCTGTCATTTTTCAACCAACGACTGAGATTTTTCAAACTCTACTGCTGAAATTAGAACCGTAAATGAGTAGGACCATACATACATCTACAATGAAATTCTACACATGTTGTTATGCTTTCAACGTATAATTAAAGGAAAATGAATGTTTCGTGCTTAGGTATGGGCACACCTAATTAGTATGTAAAATGGCATATCCTATTCCCCATAGAAACTTCACTTGTGAGTGAAGAGTATATATAGCCGGTCTTTTTCCAAAAGTGATGCTCAAATAGACAAGTAGAGAGACGCCTTCCAAGGAAAGATTATTAATGGCCACTCATTAATTGTCTCTTCTCTTCTCCCATTCCTTGTAAACATTATAATTGAGCGATTAAAATAAGATGCCCTACTTTGACCTTTATGCTTGCTCATTGGTCAATCTCTTCCTCTAGTTGATGATGATGATCATAATCATTCATGGTTGGAACCACTAAGGTTAGGACGTTGTATGAATTTACAGTTGAATTTGAGCGTAATTCAAGTGATTTTGCTTTTAGAATGTTAGGGAAAGTTTGAAGTTCGAGTTTATGAAAAATATTGAACAAACTTCACTTACCTACTAATATTCTATCTAGTGCAAAAATAAAATCTACTATTTTTCTACATTGGAGACAACTTAGCTAGTTGGATAGTGACAATTCTTTTGGGTTGAATTCATCTCTTGATATACCTTTCTAAAGTTGTTGCATTAGGGAAAATCATTGTATACTTTTGGGATAATACCTAATAGTTTTAGGAGTCATATAATGGTGAGAGCTCTTACATTTAACTTCATACTTCATACATGATTGTGTGACTTTTGAAACTATTAAAAATTATTCGAGAAACATAGATTAACTTCTCATTGTGTTAGCCACTATTTTTAAAAATTACTCTATTATGATATCCAATCAAATTATTTAAAGGCTTAGATGTCCTATGTGTATGAGAGAACTGTACAAAATGGCAAAAAAAAAAAATACTTTAGATTTGGTCCCACAAACACCCTTTTCCTAGAAGTCAAAGCAAGATCTAGGACCCTGGTGATTATCAAAAAAATAAAAATAGAAAGATCTAGGACTGTGGTCTCATTTTTTACCTACATGGACTCATTTGAATGGTAAGAAACTGATGAAAATCTACATATATATATTGCATAAGAATGTTACTCTCTCTCTCTCTCTCTCTCTCTATATATATATATATATGATTAGTGTAGAATTATAATTAAGCTTTAACCAAAAACTTAGGTAACTTAGATGGCTGGTTAATTGCTTCACAATTCACAAAGATAGACTGAAAAAACAAAAAAAAATTATAGATGTCTCTCTCATAGGCCTCTCTGTCAACTATAAAAAGCATCTAGTTTTGAGGTTTACATGGATGTGTAGAGTTTGTCAATACTTAAGTTGTACCAGGTGCAAGCTGTCTAGTTAATGTAAATGTGTTGTGTATATTTTTATATGTATATAGATGAGGCAACAACAAATCCACCACCCTTATTTATGTATATATAGCCTAAATCATCATAAAGATGCACATGTGTTTCCTTTATATGAGTAATAATGGTTCATCTGTGAGTGAGCTAGAGTTCTCACCAGCAATCCTTGGGAAACACTCAAAAGAGTCGGCGAAAAAAAAAAATTAAACTTTCTAAAATATATAAGGCAAATTATATTGTTCTCTTTGGAAATTTAAAAAAAAAAAAAAATACAATAAATTTGAAAAGTTTGACGTAATTAAAAAATGAACTTGTCTTTTTGTAAGACTAAAGAGATTAAGTTATTTTTTTTCACTCATATGATGAACGAATTATTAATAAAAATAGAGTTAAATATTATGCGAATAAAAATTTAAGGAGCGCAATGAAGTATCCCAAACTTATGGAGCTCAATGCAATTTCTCTAAACTTTAAAAGTGAGACAAGTGTGATTTACCCATACATATATATATATATATATATATAAGCAAATAACATTTGTAGGCAGAATAAGTCTAAGAATGCAAAACCCAACTATAGAACCGGATAAATTTTGATTTTTTAAACTTGGGTTTACCTATATATTTAGTGAAATCTTATTTAGTGAAATTTATTTTGTATTCCAATCTGAATTTGATTTGTGTTCATACAAAACTATTTTGGGTGGGACCATCTCTTAGCAAGTTTTTTGGATTGATGAGGGTTGTTTGGGTGACCAATCTAGGTAGAGCACTATTGTCACTCTCTACTCAATTGGTTTATTAACTCCTTTTCAGCTAACCAAGCAAGAGGCCTCTTTGTTTAGTTGCATTCCTTGTTTGAAGCCATGTGGGTGTAAGAATCAAAGTTCATTTCATAACTTCATATAAGAAAACCACCAAAAAATTATTTGACTTTAAAATACTGCGCTCATTTTGACTTTTGGATTTTTTTTTAAAAAAAAATCCAATGTGGCAATGCCGCAAAGGGCTATCTTACCAATGTGGGGAATAAACTATAAACATCCATTTTAGCTAAAGTTATGCTCTTTGCAAGTTTTTAGAACTAGTTTTTTGTTCTTTAGTTTGGTTTAAATTTATTTTCCTAGAGTTGATACCATAAGATCATTGCTGTAAAATTTTGTAAATCAGAGGATTGGATGTCTATTATTGAAAGGAAACTTTGCGTTACAAAATGAAAATGAAAAAAAGTATAGATTTCATGTATTTAAAAAAAATAACAATAATAAAGAACATATTCCATATGCTCTAAAATAGTGTGCACCACTGTTTTTGAAGATTAAAAGGTACAAATACCACTTCAGTGGCCTATCGACCTTGTTGACTGCCCAAATTTAGAGCTCTACTTTCTCAAAAACATCCCTCAAAAAGACATCCCACTATGTTGTGGGTCATGATGCATTACTATCAATAGTGACCAATTCAAGGATTAGAATATATATATATTGTCAAACAATTAAGAAAATTAAGTATGCTTCTATTTAGAGGATTTGATATTGCTATCATTGGACTTAGATCTCACCTTGTTTTGGTATATTATTTTGGTTTCAAAAAAGTCTAATTGATTCTAAAATTTTTAGAAGTCAAAAAAAAAAAAACTATATTTTCATTTATTTTTAAAATTAATTCTCACTCTGGTCCTTCTCACACCGCCTCCGCCCACCATTGACTGCCGGCAAGCTCCAACAAAAGCAGCTCCGACCATCCATGACTTCCCACAACACTCCGGCCACCACATCCAATCACACGCCAAACATGTTCATTTATTTATTTTTATTTAATTTATTCTCATATCTTTTTGAACACCAAACAATGGTAGCAGTGGCAAAGCCACTAGACTGGCTAAAAGCAGAGCTAAGGAGCATTCTCAATGCTATGGTGTCCATGTTGAAACTGAACTATTAAAAGTTTTTTTTTTTTTTTTTAATAGAAAAAAATGATTAAAAGGATTACCAATAAAAAAAGCAAACAAACAGAGATATTTAGAATCTTTAGACTTACCTCGTTTAGAAACAGGCTAATTTAGTAATTTTTTGACTATTTAATTAAAATATGAGCTAAAAAAAACTATGTTTGGGATGACTTTTTGACTTTTTACGAAAAGATGTACAAAATGTAAAGAGAAAAGAGAATTTTTAACTTTTTTGATATGAATTGTTGACTTTTTGACTAATTTAATAACTTTTTGACTAAAAAATTCGGTTGCCAAACGAGGCCTAATTCCGGATTGCTATCATGGGAACCACAAACCCTTTCTCTTTGCCATTTCACAAACAAATAAAACACTCACACAACACAATCATTGCCAAAGCTTTATGGGACTCCAAACAAAAGAATTGAAATATTTCTATTATCAACATTGCATAGAAGGTACAAAAAATATATATATATATATTCCAATATTACATAACACAATGCCTTTGCACTTGCAATAACTAGTACGCATCAACCTCTCTTGGGGGAAAGAACCCCACAACAAAAGAAAATCAGTGTGGGATTTTATGTAAGAAAGGCAGTCAGAGATGCACAATCTGGGGACAGTTAAATCCACATTATTGACTCAAAACCTATATACTACCCAACCACCTTCAAAACAATATCTTACAGAAGGGCAGGCAGGTATGTCCATCTTCCACCATTTGAACAGTACCAATGAAAAATTGGAGCTGCTTACCATCTTAACATAAATAAATCCAGAGGGGATTAGCCTAGAGGGCCAAAAACCGTCTTCCTCTGAGAGAGGCAAAATATAATTAACTCGACAAAATATAATTAACTCGAATTTGGAACCGCTATTTGAAATCTTGCACTGTGCACTTCCTACTTTCTGCCTGGACCACCTTGCAAGCAATAAAACAACAAAACAATGCTGACTCAACCCTGGCCATCACTTGCATTGTAATTCCAAGCTCCGGCCCCAAAGACCTCTTCAATCATACTGCATGTAGGTAAAAAATCAACTTCATTTTTAGGACAGGTCAAGTACCCAATATCCCATACTTTAGTGTCACAAGGCTCCAAATCAAATTCATGGCTATTAAAACCATCCAAACAGTAATTGCCATGGTTAGCCTTCACATGGGTTGATTGTGGTTCAGTCCCAGCATCAGAAGAAGTGCATGAGTCATCTTGAAGGTAATGGTCTCTGCTATCATCCCAGAAGAGTTTACCCCGCTGTGTTTCTGGAACATTAATGATACTATCATCACAATCAACAACTATGTTTTCACAATTATTAAAACCTGCATTCGCTACATTGTCATCATATTCATTTGAATCTTCTTCGTGAATCTCATTATGAAAAGGATCATCTTGACACACCGGGGATTCAACCACAGAATCCTCATCTTCCTCTACAGAATCCTCGCTCCCCTGCCACTCATCATCGTCACTGTCGATATTCATTGGATAACAGATGTTCTGCTCGGCCCGCCTTCTCAGCACAAAGACATTAAAGTAATAGCTGACGATGTCCTTTTTGGTCCGGTTAGGGAAAACCATTGAAAGATGATCCCAAAAGTTCTTGCCCAATGATGCGGGATTTGAAAAAACCACCTCTTGAAATAAGTGTTCTTCCTCTAGACTCCATCTTCCTGCCACTACCTCTCCCATATCACAGAATCCCAGCTCCAAAAAGCTCTCTGGGCCAAGTATTCTCCAAAGTTTTTCTCTGGCTTCTTTGATATGTTGTCTAACACATCTGTCAGATCCAGAATCCCTACAGCAGCAATCAGTTCTACCATCACCAACCGTGTCGCCGTTGTACGCAGACGGTCCAAATTCAGGCATTGGGATGACACAAATACCAGCCAGCTTAGTCTCATCATCATTATGATCACTGAGATCCAATTCTGAAGCTTGAGGAAAGTGAGTTAATGGTTCAGATCCATTTGAACCACCAGTAACATTCTTGGTACCCTGTGTACCCCATTCTGGTATATCAGCTTGAAAATCTGATCCAACTGGAACTAGTTTCCGAGGAGGACATTCCAAGAGAGAGGTATATATCTCTTCAGAGTGAACTAATGTTCTTCTTGGCCAGTCAGGATTACAGCGGTCATGGGAGAACAATAAATGAAATGGTACTTCTGACCCATTGTCTTCTTTGCTAACACTGCAGCTGTCCAAGGAAGTGTTGGAAACACTATCAGGACTACTGGTTTTGCCATCATTTTCAGTGCATATCAGGAGTTCAGTATGCTTCTCATCACCTTTTATGAAACAGCCCCCACCTTCACCTATTACACATTGGCCGGTCAGCCTGTAAGTTCATGAAAGCTTTGAAAGAAAAAAAGAAACGAAGATCTCTTACCATGGATGCATTTCTATCCAACCAATTTATGGAAACAAACCACACAGATGAGTAAAGACCTTCATTAAGCGCCCCTAAATTTCCATTTATTATTTCTAGGCGTAAAAAAGGCAACATATAACATTCCATCCTGATAGAATTCTCCTAAAACTTTATATGATTGGAAAACAATGAATCTACAAGTGCCTCACACTCATACATCATTCAGCCAGGTATATTTTGGACCATATACCCAAAGACTAATCAGGTGATAACACATCAACTCTTACCAACCTGAAAAGTTTGGTTGCTGTGTTGTATCCTCAGCAGGACAAATTCCAGGAACGAAACTAGCTGGTTACTGTACTCTAGTTGTCTCTGGTACTTGCAAGAAACCTCATATGTCTCCTCATCAACAAAAGGCCGTTTTTGCACCATGCTTATCTGCAAGAAAAATTTGAAAGGAATTCAGAGAAAACCTAAAAGGGCAATAGACTTTAGGTTTACACCACATTATCATGTATGGACATTAAGCCAAATTTTTACTGTACATATATATAGAGAGAGAGGAAAACAGAACCCAAACATGATATTAATGCCCCAGAAGCGAAAGAGAGAATAAAAAAATGAATTCGGCAACAAGGGTTTTTTACTCTGTTTCAACGAATGCCAATTATTTCAAACTATGTATACACATATACAAACTCAACTAAAGCACCAGTTCTGCAAAGTACATGATTCGAATGACCACAAATTAGAGAAATTTAAGATGATCGATGTTCCAACTCACGATGTGGAAAAATGGAACTGAATTGGAAACAAAATTCATACATGGATGATGATATGACCACTCACTAAACTTAAGTCCTAAAACATACAATGCTTTATACCATTTCTCCACATCATTAAAAATTGTCAACAATCAGCAATAAAGATAGCTTCATTATAAAAACAATACACTAGGGATAAGATTCCAAAACTTTACCATACCATCATTTTTTTTAAAAAAATGTATCTCTCATCTCATGCTTGGGTTGACACACATTTTAAATGAACAAACAATAAAAGTGAAATCAAAACCGAGTGCAAAATACAAAAATATAAAGCACAACAGCCATCTTAAAATTGAAAAGCATGCAAATGATTATAAAAAGACAAAGCTAGAGCAGCTAAACTCCTCCTAAAGACTCCATTTAGGTCACATACTAAAAAGAACACAAATTCAAACACTTAACAAGAAATTCTAAAAAGTCATTGCTCTGCATGACATTAATGAAACATACAAGCAAACTATCAGCTACCCATCTTCACAATCACACACTTGCAAAGAGCATAAGTGCATAATGAAAGCATTCAAGCCAAGAACCCTTTTTAAAATTTTTAATACTAAGGTAACTCAATAGGGAAAAATACAAGAAACATGGCATTTAAAAAGGAATTTTGTTAACTGTGTGAGTACATGCTAAGAAGCTTCTGCATGAAAAAGCGCGCAATAAAAAATATACAAAATTTAAAACTTTATTGACACGTGTTGTTATAGAACACATTAACTAGGACCCTTTAAAAAAATTGAGTTCATATAACACCTTGTTTTGTTTTGTTTATTTATTTTAAGTATGCATAAGTAAAAATAAATGCTTATCAATAATTTAAACATAAGTTATAAGATTCTAAAATTATCATAAAAATAACAAGGTTTATACCTCAGAAAATAGTCTCCAGCAAATTAAACAGCCGATACCTAAATGGTTCCAATTCGATCGATCACTGGACTAAAAGGTAATTTCCAATAGGATTTGATGTTTCCCCAATCCAATCGACAAAAACAAACAAAACTCCTAAATTTATCGAAACCCTAACCCTAGATCCCCAAATTTTCAGCAAAATCCCCAAAATTAAACCTAACCCACCAACAAAAACAACCACCGCGATCGAACCCCACAAATAATTAATCAGATCTACAGATCAAACAAACTTTCAAAATTCGAAAACCAAAAAACCTCAACCTCAAAAAAAAATAATTTACAAATCGGAACCAACAGAGAGAATCAAAACCCAGATAAAAAAACGGATTGATTTACTCAAAAGGATAGACAGATCGAGGAGATCTGACGAAGATCGAATGAATTTGAAAACCCTAACCCTAGAACACGATTTACAGAACGGGTAGGGGTGAAAGAGAGATCTATCGATTGGGGAGAGAGAGAAGTAAAAGATTATGACACCGATTTGAGGATTGGGAGAAGTTATTAAGATCGAATCGAGAAAGAGGAAAGAGAAAGTTGAAAAAAAAGGCGGCTAGTAATACTATGACGGGTAAAGATAGGGTTTGCGATATTTTCGTAACCGACGGTCCGAAGATAGTAGTAATTCGGTTGTCCGAGGAGGATTCCTAGATGGACGTAAGTAATTACCTAAAATACCCTTCCCTTTTTTTTTTTCCAATTTATAAATTTTTTATAAATATAAACTGAAAACGTAAACGTTACCAAATGCTTAAAAATTGGGAAATTTTAAATTATTAAAAATAAATTAAATTTTAAAGGGAAAAAAACTAGATCGCATTTGAAAATTTTTGTAATTACAATAGGGGTGAAATTAATTTAAAATATATATATATATTTGGCCTTTTGGTATCATTTGCATTTCAAATCAATAATTTTGTTACTCTTTTATATTACTATCTCCTTTTGTAATCGTAATTGGTTCTCATAATTAAAAATAATAATTAAGGAATTAATAAATGCTAATAATATCTCGTCATATTAAAAAAATGATAAATTAGAAATACATTTTTTGAGATTTGTCTAAAATACAAATTGTCTTCTGTAATTCTAGAAATTATATTCCACATTTTTAAGTTTATAATCGCACAACAAATGACCTCTTTTATAAAAAAAAAAATTATATATTCAATTAACAGTTTTTAATGATATCATAAATGTATTTCAATTAACAATTCAAATAATTTTGTTATTGTAGTAGTTAAAAAATTCATTTTTTCTGTTAATTTTATTAAATAAAAAATTCTAACAAAGAAATATTTATAAGCAATTCATATTTTAAACAAATATCATGAAGTGTATTTGTTGTTTATCCTAAAAAATTAATATATAACAGTCATCTTTTCATTTATTTAGGATAAATTACACTAACATTTCTTAAAATTTGAGGAAAATGTAAGAAGCCCTATAAATTTAACATGATTTCATTGTACGCATAATATTTTACTCCTTAGCCATTAGTCATCCGTTAGTTACTGAAATAAAGATATGTATATATATTATCAACTTTATTATACTGAAATATATATATTACCATTGATTATCCTTGTGTTGTGTCTATTTACATTATTTTCAAGAAAAGTCAATATAATTTCTCTGTTATTTAATAAAATCCTTTTAATCAAATATTTTTTTAATATGGGTAAATATTAATTTCAAACAAAATGTAGAAGTTTTAGTGGGAATCTATTTCTCTCATTCAATTTTATTGGAGGTTAGAATAAATTTTTTTAAAAAGCCTGTAAAAGTTTAAGCAAGAATCTATTATTAATCTCATTGGAAGTTATTAAAAAAAAATTAAAAAGCTCCTCATGGGGTTTGAGTAGTTCATTCGAGGAAGATTGAGATTTTCTCTGGTAAATGAAAAAATAGCTTTGCTAGAAAAATGAGATGTGTTGGGAATACTCATCAAGTTTTTACAAGTTAGGATTTGAAAAAGAAAATCGATTCCTGCCTATATGATGATTTGAAGTCCAATCTTTAAGGCACTTCATTTGCTCTATGAATTGGGTAATTGACTGTACAATAAACTCCAAAACACTCTCATGGGTTGAGAATCAAAGCTCTTCCCACAATCAAATCTGGGATGTTGGATTTGTGGTGGGGGAAAAAAATTACTTTAATTTTTTCCTCCACAAATGGAAGATTCAAACGCAACATAAGAACAACTTGCAAAGAGAGGAAATGACCATGGTCATCTCTTTGTACAATTTGCCAAAAGCCGCAGAAGGATTGAGAAAATAACGATAACACTTAATTAACATAACAACCAATTAAGAATAAGTATAAAGTTACAATACAACCAATAGTATAAGCCATCAAACAATATACAACCCCATGAAATACTTGCAAAGCAACTAGCAGTATGACCATCATTTACAATGTGATACGACTAAGCTTGGATATATTGTATAAATGTGGGAGAGAGGTAATGGACGCCAAAGTAACTCCAACCTCAAACTGCAACCAAGGCTAGATGAGGTCAAAAACAACATCATTGCATTGAACAGCATCAACTGTCGTCCTCCTGCCATTCCTAGAAATGTCAAAGTAAAATTAAACTAAAATCTAATAATATCAACAATAAGTCCTAAATCACAATTAGTTCTGCAACATCATACATATGAAGATGTATAGATATGTATCATCAAATTGATAGCACCATATTTTTATTTTATTTTTTCCTTTGAAGTATCCTTTGTTGCACACACGGAATGCAAGGCATTCACTAAATAGTGTAATATGTACCATATTCGTAAAATTTGTAATATCTTATCATTTATCAAACTCAACGTCTATTTCAATGTGCAACAGTATCGTAGTTATTGACGAGAAAGGCATGCGTATGGTACAGTCATACAACCTAGATACATCTTGGTCTGATGTGAGAGATACATGTTGACATAGATGTTCTCAAACAAAATGTTGTTAGTTCACTAGAGTCGAGTAACGAAAAACTGTGTAGAGTTAGAAACAAAATGTCGGAAAACAGTTTGGACTAAAACAGAAATCTATTATTAACCAGCCATTATTGTTTCAAGAGTTTAAAAGTGAATAGAAACATCAAGAAATTATTAATGAATTACCCATCGTTACTCAAGTTTAGTAGCCAAAATTGATGACTCTACGGTGAGGGAACTAAATAACATGACAAAATATTAAAATTGGACCAGTGAAACGGTTATTCATTAAAAAATAGCTGGATACTGACAATTTGAAACAGAAACATTACCAAGAATGTGGTAAGCAAGAACTATCAATTGTCAAGTGTCATAGATCAACACCCTCGTCAAGGCCTTTAGAACTGATCATCACATTTGCATCAATTTGCTTGTCAAACTTCTTTCTCCTCCGGGTTTCAAACTCTTGGAATCCATCCATCTGAAATTGTACTTTGTTAACTTAGAATTCTACTAAAAGCCTTAAGACTTCAATAATTACGGAAAAAATTTTGAAAGATGCATCATAGCCATGCACAAGGAAAATGTGCCGTACCTGTTGAAATTGATCCATGGAAATGGGATTGTTATGAAGGGAAATATTCTGAAGAGCTTTGCAGTCCGTCAACAAATTTGGAGGTATCTGTACAGCAAGAGACGCCAGATTCTTAGTTCACAATACGACTCTTGCAATAGTCACTACAAGTAAAACTGTATACTCTCTTTCCTTGCAGCATTAAACAGCTTGAATTTGTTGTTCACAACAAACTGACATGTTCATTTTATATTAATAGTATACATATATGGATAGCATAGATAAAAAACAAACAAACACTTGTTCAGTTGCCTGAATAGCAGAAATGTAAAAGAAAATAGTACTTTAAGGGCAGAAAGGAGATGGTAGAAAGAAAAGGAAACACTCCCAACCCTCTTTTTTCTTTCACTTCCATTTCCTTCCTAATGATGATGAGGCATATTTTCAATTTCGCATATATTGTTATTTATCATAATGTAGATATATAAAAAATAAAATAAAAAAAGAACAAGAACAAAAACAAAAACAAATGAGAAGAAGAAGAAGAAGAAGAAGAAAGTGAGACAGAAACAAATGAGAGGCATAAACTATCATATCATAAATTTATTGTACATTTCATGGAAGAAGTTGGATAGAATATAAACTCTGCAGCGTATACCTGCTTCACATTATTATTGTTTAAGCAGAGTGACTTCAGGTGAGTGAGATTGCAAACAGAAGAAGGAAGTTCATCGATAGAATTTTCTGCCAAAAACAAGAGAAAATCACCAGAATTGTGAAGATAAGTAAGAAAATATTGTAAACGGCATGTAAGAATGGTATGGTAACTCAGCAAAGACAAAGAGCATATGAAAGAAGCATCTCGAAGCCCAGGGTCTAGAGCAAACACACTAATCCCCCAAAAGTTAGTGGCCACTTAACCATCTGAAGCTTGACACCTCCACAGTTGGTGAAAAATAATGTAATTTTTCTATCAAGCAACTCACTGAAATTCTAGGAGTGAAAAAAAAAAAAAAAAAGAATGACAGAAGATACAGAGCATAAAATGGATTGCAGAAATCAGAGCATACACAACTCCAGCTTCCAAATCCTTAAATACCATCTAGAAGCATAACAACCAAAATGAACATTTACTGAAAAAGCTCCAGCTCAGCAAAGCCTTAGAGAAATGATCAAATTTAGAAACCAAGTTCAATGGCGTGGTAGCAGATATAGTGGATTAAAATAAGGGACTCTCCAACCACAAAATGAAAGCACTAAAAAGCATAGAACTAATAATAAAACTTTGGTTTACACGTATATTGAGCATCATATAACTGCATGCAGACCCTGCAAGGGCTTAAGCAACATGTGCAAGGCCATACCATGACCATGAGCAATATGTTAAGTAAACCTTAAAAGCAAGATAGTGAAAAATTTGATGGATAAAAAATCTTAGAGAAGGTATGGGTCAAAATATCCCGTGAAACAAACATGTCGTGTCAAATTTAAAGTGCTTTGGAAAAACAAAGTAGGTTTGTGACTGACATTCATTTTGATCAAAACTAACTATGAAACTTCGCAAAAAAGAAGAGACTACACATCAGATATTCTCCTAATGCCTCAAATTATACATCCCTGGACCCCTAAGGCTTCATTAATAGCAACAGTTGTCAGAGAGAGAACAGAAAAAGAAGGGAATGAAGAATAAAAACGATTTAAAACTAGGTTTAAAGGTACCATTAGCTTGTAGTTCTTCCAGAGAGAAGCAACTCCCAATTGATTCTGGGAGAAACTCTAACTTGTTATTTGACACGTTTAAGAGCATCAACTGCATTGTCCAACAATCCATGTTAGTTACTACAACTTAGATATTTACACTTATATTGAAATCAGAACATTGAATAGAAAAGTCATAAATCCACAAAAAATTTTGAAAAGACCATGTGCTTCTACTCAACAAGCATTACTAGAGTGTTTGATTTGACTCCTATGTCAGCTATAATGTCTTCGAATTAAAAAAACCCGGCCATCAAACACACAATCTAATTTCAAAAGAAAGAAATCCGTTCTACTTTTAACCATGCAATCACTTAAGACACATGAACAAAGCAGTCAAACACACAAAGCCACACCAATGATATACAGGTAAAAATAAGGTCGGCACAAGAGTTTTAAAATTAATAATTAAGAATAATGGTGAAAAAAGATTTACACACACAAAAGTAGCATGAGATCGGGAAGAAATATTTACAATTTTTTGCAAACTTTTAGGATTATGCACACACTCATGAATAAAGGGAAATAAACAAAGCATCACACAATTCCTAATTAAAATTGATGCAATCAAGACAGTATCATACAGAATGTCTATCAAAGTACTGCAGTCACCTCATCCGCAACACTGAATAATGGTATAACTACAGGGGTCTTGTTAGATCAAAATAACCATGGAAGAAAAAATGGAGTTCATGGTACACTAGATACAGTTACTAACATTGCGCAAGCTCCCTATAGTCTCAGGCAGGTGTGTCAATAAATTTCCTGAGATGGACAACTTCTCAAGTCTCACCAGCTGACCCACTGAAAACAGAAAACACAGATCTGATAAGAAACGAGTAGAGCATGCCATTCCGCAACAAACATTACCCTTAAAAGTTCACAGATAAAGCAGATAAAAGCAAATGAAAAAATGACAATTAACTAGACTAAATATAGCATTCTCTTAGTTAGAGAAAAAAAAAAAATTACTTTCATCAGGTAAGATAGTAATTCGATTCATATCAAGTGACATATTTTTCAGATATTGAAGTTTCCCCAGGTTTAGAGGGAGGCGCTCAATAACGTTATCTGCCAAAACCTGAAAAAAGACAAGGTATGAGAAATTCAAGTTTCTATTATCAAAGTAGAATCATACTAAATCACTGCTCATTCACAGATTCACAGCATCATTAATATCACCTATTTCTTTCATATATGCATAAGGAGAACTTTTGAAATAAACATTCCTTGATGGTCACAAACACACAATTGGATGCACGTCCAATAATGAATTCCCAGGAAGCAATCAGTCATCAAACAAATAAAACTTCTTTTCTTTTATAAAAGAATAACAATAATAAAGAATAAATAAGAGAATGCTAAAATTCTGATATGTTTGTTCCTCTCAAAAAGGTAGACAAGCAAATTAGGTAAAAGGGGCAAAGAAAAGCTCCTATCTAATCACTGCAAATTGATTATGTTTCATAAATCTATATCACCAAAAAAATATATTTAAATCTATTTGCCAGAAAATTATCAACAGAACCCTGGAAGGTTTTAAATTTTCTGTCATTAAGAAACCTCTACTTACCGCAAGTTGATTAATGTTTCAATAAACCTATATCACCACGTATAGGAGGCCCCCTTATTGTTGCCTTTTTTCAGTATATCCTATCTATTTTCTAACATACAAAACCAATTTTGTCTTTTAATTCACTTCTAGATGTTATTGTTCTGTTTTGGGATGATGAAAACTATATGCCTTCGTTGCACAAAATATATGCACATTCTATGAAGCATAGGCACCTCTCTGGAGGTAATGTACCGATGTTGGACACATGTTTAAAACATTGGAGGAATCAGACAAGTTGGGGACACATTACGCATTGGGTCTCATTTCATTTTTTTCGCTGGAATAACATACCCAAAGTTGATGAATTTCATGAGAACAAATATTTAACATAGAATAAATATATAATATTCAAAAATATGGCATATAATAAATACATATAAAATCATATATTTTGCACGTGTCCCCAATGTGTCATGTCTTGCATTTTTTGATAATTTGCATGTCTGCATGTCCGTGTCCATGTTTGTGTCTATGCTTCTTAGTACACATTAATTTTCCTTTGTTTTTATGCTAAGAACTTTCTTTTTTTCACAACCATTTGAGTCACCCATGCATCTCACAAGATAACAACCAATTTCCCGAGTATAAGTAAGTTAATCTTGACAAAAGAGAAAATGAAAGCAACTATAATTGCAAGTTAATCTTGATTCTCATATTTAAATTCTTTTCTCCTAGCAAATGCTGGAAGACAATTGAAATAAGAAATTAATAATTAGATAGAAAATAGTTAATTAATTTTTATCTCAAGAGGTATCAACTCAAAAAGCACGACTGTGTGGATAAACAAATGCAAACCTGTGATTCTTACCAGCCGCTGCAAATTAATCAATTTGCTGATCTCCATAGGAATGTCAACTGCATAAGCCACGTCACATGAACAACCAAAATTATATTAACAATAGCAACAACAACAACTTCAAAAGGATCAGCTTTGCCAAAAAGCTTAGACACAAAAGAGTGATGAAATTTCGCTCCTGGGTACTAATGGGAAAGGTAATAGCAACTACAATTAAAACAATAACACATGCATGTGAGTTCGCAAACGTGGTTGTAACTGCAACCATTTGATTGTATTATCATCTCTGAATGCAATCAAATGATGAAAAATTGACACAATCAAGTATTTCAAAAGTTGAAGAGTTCTACCTAATCTATTGTGTGTCAAATCAAGAGTCCGTACAGATTTGTCTAGGTCAAGAACTTCATCAGGAAATGTCTGTTCAAGAGAAAAGAAAATCATTAATACATCTTTGAGTACAAACTAAATCAAACAAGCAAGTGGGAAGTAACAAATGAACATGCATCAATTGGTTCATCTATCTATTTTATTTCACGCTTCCAAATCTTACTCATATTATGATGACAGAAATATTTCAAGGGGCACACATTAAGAGATGCCTAGCCTAAAAATCTATTCCAAAAATCCACTTGTACCATATATGTGGGTCTCTCTATTTGTGTGCATATTGCACTCACTCACACATACCCACATACACGAGAGAGAGAGAGAGAGAGAGAGAGAAAGTATTGGGAACTAAACCTACAAGGCTACACGTCATCATAAAAAACCAAAAATGAGTATTGAAAAGTCAAGAACTTGTTATGGTGTGATTTAGTCAATAGGAATTAACTCAACAAAAATGTCCATTAAAGTCACTTTGACATGTCTTTACCCCTTACCAAATTTATCACACAAATCACAAAGGCAAGGGGTAATCAGCCATAGGACATCTTCACATCCACCCGAGCCTCTATGGGGATTCCTAATTTCCATAGTTACTTACATATATGTGTGTTTCAGTCCTCAGCAAGCTCGGCAATTACTAATCGTAAACCACAAAAGACTCCCAGCGTTGAAGATTAAAAGCAATTTATCAAAAATGTGAATCATATGACACTGAATATCATTCTGTGTGCGTCTGTGAGTAGTTGTGTTGCAAAACACCTTTCTTTCATTTTGTCCAACTCAAAACTATTTTATTTTGATTGTGGAAATCTGACATTTATAATATAACTGTTGGAAGCCCAATCCCTATAAATACAATTCACTCTCATTTCAACTAACTCACTCAAATCTCTCTCTCTCTCTACACTGTGGCTTTAATTAACATACTCATATCTTCGTTTTGAGGTTTTTTTTTTTTTTTAATATGCTTTCCACACACTTCAACAATTTACATGGTTTGCCATGGTCCCTAAAATCCTATAACAATTGGGACCAGTTTGGTTCTTGGTTCACCTCGGAGCTGTTGTCGAAAGCATTAAGTGATGACAATGAGGACTATCATAAAGTCACTAACTCAACCAAAACTAGTTATCACCAACAACTGAACAATCCTGAATAACAAAATACAAGGGCTATATATATGAGTCAATTCCCTCTTTTCCAACTCTTACAAAACCACTCATCTTCTGATCGAACCAAGCTCAAGTTATGTCATTTTTCACAGACTATCTAAGAAAACAAAGCCAAGTGATGGATACAAAAACATAAATACAATGAAAAATACACACAAAATTGATGGATTGAAGAATGAGAAGAGAAAGGAACCTTCAATTTGGAGTCACGCAAGGCCACAATGCCGGTGGAGCGCCACCGAGCCATGCGAGTGGCCTTGGAATCGGCGTTCTTGCTGTTACAGCACCCCATTTTCGCTCGATTTTACGCAGAGAAAGACTAAGCGATTGGTTTCATGGAATTTTCTCTGAGAAATTCGAGTCTCTCTCTCTTTCTGTGACTGTGTCTATGGAAAATGGGGTGCGTGGGAATTTTCGTCCGAGAAAGATCGATCGAAGGGAGAAAAACAGAGAGAGAAGACTTTGAAGGAGAAAGCGCGTTAGCGTTTCGTGTTCTGTTTTGGTTTTCGGGTCTGTTTGCTTGGGATTCTAAGCCAATGAGGAAATATATATGAGTAATGCTAGAGACCCCAAATATTCTACCAAAAGTTTTACCAAATGTCTCACATGGGTGTGGGACCCACATAATGTGGGTCCATGTGGGTCCCACACCCATGTGAGACATTTGGTAAAATTTTTGGTAAAATTTTTGGGACCTCTAGCATTTTTGAATATATATATATATATATATAAATAGGCATAAATATGAACAAGTAATTTAATTGAGGATATTAGACAGGTAAGGATATTCCTCATCAAAGGTGGAAAAATAATAACAACATTGCATTTCCTGTAGCTTATTTTTCATGCTTCTTTCAAATATGATAATCTTATAGTTTGGACTCATATAATTTTAAATTTGATTTTATAAGTGTAATATGAAATAAATAAATACAAATAAGTTTAAATTCAGTAAATCTTTTGAAAAATTAATTTTAAATCAAAATGTCAAAAATAAACTGTTTTGTTAGATTACAGAGTTGCCACCTAAATATTTTGAGAAATTTAGGAAACCCAGAACTTGTGCTAAAGGCCACTTATCCGTCATTACCAAAGTGTCTCGACTCAAGAACTTAGGTACAAGAGGAGAAGGTCATGAATTGAGCACCTCACTCACTATATGAGTAATGCTAGAGACCCCAAATATTCTACCAAAAGTTTTACCAAATGTCTCACATGGGTGTGGGACCCACATAATGTGGGTCCATGTGGGTCCCACACCCATGTGAGACATTTGGTAAAATTTTTGGTAAAATTTTTGGGACCTCTAGCATTTTTGAATATATATATATATATATATAAATAGGCATAAATATGAACAAGTAATTTAATTGAGGATATTAGACAGGTAAGGATATTCCTCATCAAAGGTGGAAAAATAATAACAACATTGCATTTCCTGTAGCTTATTTTTCATGCTTCTTTCAAATATGATAGTCTTATAGTTCGGACTCATATAATTTTAAATCTGATTTTACAAGTGTAATATGAAATAAATAAATACAAATGAGTTTAAATTCAATAAATCTTTTGAAAAATTAATTTTAAATCAAAATGTCAAAAATAAACTATTTTGTTAGATTACAGAGTTGCCACTTAAATATTTTGAGAAATTTAGGAAACCCAGAACTTGTGCCAAAGGCCACTTATCCGTCATTACCAAAGTGTCTCGACTCAGGAACTTAGATACAAGAGGAGAAGGTCATGAATTGAGCACCCCACTCACCCGATCAAAGATCGGCCTCTACTAATCATGATGTGATTCTTATTTACATTATATGCTATTGTTCCAATTATTTAGGCTAGCATCACTATGTGACGCACACAAGTATAAACTAATTTGTAAAAATTGGAACACTCTGATTTCATGTTTTGTTTGAAAATCGGTTCGAATATATACCACTTAAAAAAGTGGGCTCGTATGTATATTTGATCAAATCATCCCAATTTGAGCAATTAGCCTTCATCCACATGCATTCAAACAAGTATATCAATTAAGCACTTAACCTCTTGGTAATCATGCTTCACATAGCAATAATCACACGCATGCGATATACTAAAGCAATAAGTGCTCACCTCGTACTCTAAGGCAATCCAAAAAGAAATAAAAGAGTTAGAAAAAATGAATGATCCTACGGATGCAAAATGACTAATACAACGCATGCAAAGATGCAACTAATAGGCCCGGCTACTAACATGACATGTGAATAAATTTGATAGTATACGGTTTTAAGTACGTTTTCAAGTAAGAAATGAATAACAACATGAGTTAGAATGATGCGCCAAGCCTAATGCATGCAAGACAATGGATGCAAATCATGAAAAAATGCTAAACGAAATATGATGCTCTAAACTATCCATCATAAGGGGGTAAATAAAAGGGAGAAAGACGTAAGATTTGAAGACATACATGCATTATTACAATTTGCCCTCGCACAAGAGGGTCTAAATAAATGCCCTGGCTAATTACTATGAATTAACTAACTATTACAAACCAAATGAAATAAATTAACTATACTAGCTAATTAGCACAAATTGGTCCTCGCACAAGAGGGTTTGAATAAATGAATTAACTAAGCTATTTAACTAATTATTACAATGCCGAATTTAACCAACTATTTTAGCTAATTAAATAATTACAATACAAAATCAATTACTCTGACTAATTAATACAAATTAACTAATTAAACTAACTAATTAGTTACATTACGAAATTAATTAACTAAGTAATTAATTACAAGTTCACCACTTTAGGTACAAAAAACTACTATTAAACGTAATTTTAACGAGCCCCGAGGAGTGAGGAATGGCTCATGCATAAAGGTTTTTCGCCCAAAAAATACCTCTGGTTTGGTACCAAAAGGGTTCTGTTTGCAGTCAAAAAAATTGAATTGTTTTGCTTCAGCTTCTACTCTGTTCTGCGGGAAAAAAGGGCACTGCCTGGCTAAAAAAAAGTGGCCGGCCAGTCACAAATTCGTGGTACTGCCTTGCTGCAACAGATAACAAACAGAGCATAAAAAGAGCATTTTCAGGTAATGTTTGTCCACCATGTCTCTTCTTATCATCAAATAGCTCAAAAGAGGGATATGCTTGATTCGTAAACCATTAATCAACGCCAATTCATTGCTTGATGACTTATGAACCAAGGGATACAATCTCAATAAATGCACAATGAAAGACCCACGAACATCCTCCCTATCATGATATTGATCAAGGGAAATGGTTGACATTGACTTTTGAACCGTTTTCATCACTAACAAGTATGAAACGACTCAGGACTCCATAAGTTCAATTAACATCCGATTGAACCCAAGTTATTTTATTATCTTGCTCCATTTTATTCCAATTTTAATACCTTTTTTAATTACCTTTTCATTCCTTAAGCCTTTTAGTCCAATAATGGGCACACTACTAGAAATATGACTTTTTGCGTCTACTTTTTTGCGACTGATTATTTAACCGTCACAAAAAATCATTTTTGTACATCAAAATCTCATTTTACCATCTCATTTTCCTGTCCCAATCATGTTCTTAAAAAAATAAAATAAATAAAAATCAGTAAAACTTGACTCTCTCTTTCTCTCCCTCTCAATCCATTTTTTTCTTATTTCCTAAATCCGAACTCTCTCTTTCTCTCCCTCTCAAAATCTGTCTCTCGCTCGATTCTCGCTCGAATCTCATTGCCTCTCTCGCTCGAATTTGCCGCTCGAATCTCTCGCTCGAATTTGTCGATCGATTCAACTTTCTCAAGTCCACAACTGTTGAAGATTTCATAATCGGTAAGCCTAAACACATCTTCATCGATCCAACTCTCTCTGTAATGATCCGAGAAATCAAGTGTGCTCTGAATTGCTCTCTCTTGTCTCAGTTTCTCTGTGAGATCAATAAACATGGTAAGATCAGAGAAATCTCTTTGAAGCATTCACTTCTTGTTCATCTTCACGCATTATTCGTTAACTTGTTGCTTATCCACTAATCTCACTGCAATCTTCTCGATTGATCAGGTTATTGTACAGAAAGTGAAGGAATCGGAGATAACCGAGCAGGACTCGCTTCTACTGGTACAGTTCAGCTATTGATTTTCATTTACAGATGATCATAGCAACCTATATATAAATTTCATTGTCTACTTATCTTCATTTTTGTGGATCGAATTCTGGAATTATAATTTGAACTTACGGTTTTCTCATATTCAGAATCAGATCATTGCTTTGAATAAGTCATAGTACGCTGAATCTGGATTATGTTTTGTTCAGTAATTTACTAGTGAATTTTACTGTAACTCAAATCCGAATTATGATCAAGAGAGTTTGAATCTGAAATAATTTTTTTCTACATTTAGAATTAATTTCTCTAGTGTTGCAACCTAGACATGAATTTCGTTGTCTGCTTGTCTTCATTATTTGTGGATCAAATTCTGGAATTCTAATTTGAATTTATGGTTTTCTCACATTCAGAATCAGATGCATCTAGTGGGCAACAAGCTTCAAAAGAAAATAAATAGGTATGCATTTCTCTGCTTTTAATGAATTTTTCAGCTTATTATGAATTAGGTTGCCTATTTCTCTGAATATCTCTTTGGAATACTTATCTTTTCCCTTATATTTCTGCATGTATTTATGATATTTGCTGTGTATGAAGTTCTTGAAGGATATCACTATATTTCCCAATGCATTATGTCGTATTAAGTTTGAAATTTATCCCTAGAGCATATCATATGGACCATGTATTATGTCGTATTAGATTTGTTGCTTATGTGCTGCCCTCAAAACAACTAAACACATGAAACATATTGCTGGATCACAGGAAAAATAGTTATATCTAAAGTTCAGGTGAAGCTAACATGGATAAGGTTTTTGTAGACACCCCATTTTTTACCGTCCTCAAGACTTGGACGTCACCGTTTGAACACTCGGTGATTATCCATGTTTGTGTTCGTTTGGAGTTCCCGGAGGCCTCAGCTCGCGTGCCTTGCTTCAGGACCTCCGAACTCGACCGTTTAGTGTCTGGTTTTGCACCAAACACTTGTGTTTTGCCTTAGAAGGGCAGAGTAGGGCTTGTGGACCATCCCCACCCATCACCGGCAGTGGCTAGAGGCCACCGGCTGGTTTTTGCTGCCACCGCCGGCCGGCACTATTTGTTGCCGGTCAGCACTTTTTAGTGTCGGCCGGCACTCTTTTTGGCCAAGATGGCATTTTTGGCCGGCCGATTACTGTGCATCTGCTTTTGCAGATATTTTAAGACAGCTGTCTTACTTTTGCTCCCCTCCATACACGTGTATGGAGGGATCTCCCTCTTATGAAGCTTGTCTTGTAAGCTTTACAA